TCTACTGTCACTGTCACCACCACTGAGTCCACAGCTACGAGCAAAGCCACTCCTGTTGCTACGAGCACTGTCACCCCTACTCCCACTCCCACCAGCACTGGCACAGAGGTTCCCACCCCTACGGGCACAGTACCCACTACCGCGTCAACCGCGTCCACACCTGCAACGTCACCCTCCACCCCCGTGACCACTCAGTCAACCCCCTCCCTTTCCTCGGAGTCCACCACCCTTCCCACCACCCCTCTGACCACCAAGGAGCCTTCTAGCACCCCAACGTCACCCAGAACGACACCCCCTGTGGCCACTGTGACTTCAGGCAGCACTCCTGGACCTGAGGCCTCCACTTCGGGCACCACCCCAACCTCACCAGGTAAGGAGACGCATCCCACCCTCCTCTCCCAGGAGGGCCGCCCTCTGCCAGGGAGCCTCGCAGCCCTGGGCTGGCCTGGCTCAGTGCCTCGGGTGGCTGCCCCGGCTCTGCCCAGGAGGGTAGGCCCTGGGAAGGCCGCGGCTGGCTCCGCGTGCCTTTCCCTCTGAGCACCCTCCCTGAGTGCAGGGAGCCCCGACCGTCATCTGTGCCTGGGCCGCGTGGCAGAGCCCCTTGGCGAGCCTTGGGCTGTGTAGAACAAGGCCTGCTTGGGCCTCCCTGCCTGGGCCTCCCTGCCTGGGCCTCCCTGCCTGGGCCTCCCTGCCTGGGCCTTTGGAGCCTTGGCGTGGCAGAGGAGGCCGGAGGGGCCGGCATGCTCAGCCTGCAGCCCTGCAGCCCCTCCTGCAGCTCTGCTGCTGCCCCGAGCCTCGGCCTCCCCTGCAGTCCTCCATGGCACACAGTGTGAGTGGTGGCCTCCAGAGCCTTGGTCTCCAGCCGGCCGGCCACCTTCCCCTCTGGGTCCTGTTGTCGGGCCCCTGTGGCACCTAAGAGGAGTGATGGCCTCAGCTCACGACCTGTCCTTACAGGCACACCCATCTCGACGACCACTCCCCACACTGTGTCGACAACCACCGTGGGGACCCCCACCAGGACAGGGCCCTCTACCATGCCGACCACACTGGAGACCACCCTGGCCACGTCCACCCCGATTGAGACTCCCAGCACCCCGTGGGAGACGGGCACTTCGACCACCTGCTGCGTGTTGAATGACACATACTACATCCCAGGTGTGTTTGGCTGTCCACCCCCCACACTAGGCAGCCGAAGCTGGGTCTGATCCCTGTTTAATGTGGCAGGTTAAGGACCAGGCAAGGTCCAAGCCAGGAACTTGCTCAGGAGGCGGGAGGACAAGGGTGGAATGGGACATCTGGCTGGAAAGAGGGACCAGGGTCCCTCAGCTCGTGAGCATGGTCAGGGTGGTTGGTCCACTTTCTGTTGCCATGACAGACTACCTGACACTAGATCATTTTTGAAGATTAGAGGTTTATTTGGCTCACGGTTCTAGAGGCTGGGAGGAGCGTGGTGTCAGCACCTGGTGAGGTCCTCTGTGCATCCTGGCGTGGCAGAGGGCATTCCCAGGCGAGCGGGGCAAGCAAGCTGGCTCCAGCCTTGTTCTCTTCTTCTGAAGCCACTAATGCCACCCCAGGACCCCACCCCGAGGACCCCATCTAAGCCTGGTCACCTCCCAGAGGCCCCTTCCCGACCCTGTAGCATGTGCCCAGGGACAGTCACACGGGCACCCCTGGGGCACATGACTGTCTGGGCCCACAGCAGCGCCTTCTCTGTCTTCCACGGGACCTGCGTCCCCTAAGGTGGCCACCCTGCCTCTGGGTGGCGTGGGGACTGGACCTCTCTCTCCCCGCAGGTGACGTGGTGTACAACAACACCATTCGGGACACCTGCTACTACGTGAACTGCTCCGTTGACTGTGAGTTGCAGTACTTCAACTGGTCCTGCCCGTCCACGCCTACCCCAACGCCCACTTCCTCGATGCCCACTCCGTCCTCGGTGGCCACGCCCTTGACACCCTCAACACCCAAGCCCTCCACGCCGGCGACCACATCCTCCAAGCCGACACCCGGCACCACCAAGCCCACCGGGTGCCTAGATTTCGATCCTCCGAGACAGGTCAGTGGGCCAGGGTGGCCTCGTTCCCCCGGCGCCCGGGGTGTCCAGGCGTCCGAGGCCTGAGGCTCCTGGACGCTCCTCCCCCTCCCTGCACCATCTGCAGTGCAGGGTCCGCTGCAGCCCTGGGCCTTCTCCAGGCCTGGCCAGGTGGCTGGCCGCCACGAGGCCCGGCGCTGCCGGCGGCCCCTCTGGGGTGGAGAGGACCGCCGGGCTGCCCACGTGCAGCCTGTGGACCCCAGGGCCTGGTCCCGCAGGAGAACGAGACCTGGTGGCTGTGTAACTGCACCATGGCCATCTGCAAGCACGACAACGTGGTGGAGATCGTGGAGAAGGAGTGCCAGCCCCCGCCCATGCCCACCTGCTCCAATGGCCTCAAGCCCGTGCGCGTCATGGATCCGGACGGCTGCTGCTGGCACTGGGAGTGTGACTGTAAGTCCCTCCCAGCCGCTCGCTCGGGGACTGCCTGCCGCTCCCTCTCTGGTGGAGGGGGGCGTGGCTGGTCTCCCTGGGGCGCAGAGTCCGAGGGCTGAGCACCTGCTGCAGGCTTGGCAGGGACTTCTTGCCCTCCTTCCTGCCCCAGGTCTGGGGACCTCCCCACAACGAGGGGGCCTTCCAGGTGAGAGGGGCCCCTCTGGCTCCACACCCAGGCCCTGTCCTGCGGAAGGGCCCTGTGGAGGGTGGGGAGCCAGGTCCAGCCTGCTCTCTCACCCAAGGGCACACTTCAGGCCCGCTCTCCCGACCTGACCCCGAATCCTGACTGTGACCCGTGGCGGTCCCCACCCCTGCCCGCCAGCTCACTGAGCTTCTTCTGCAGGCTACTGCACGGGCTGGGGGGACCCGCACTACGTCACCTTCGACGGCCTGTACTACAGCTACCAGGGCAACTGCACCTACGTGCTGGTGGAGGAGGTGACCCCGCAGGTGGACAACTTCGGGGTCTACATTGACAACTACCACTGTGACGTCAACGACCAGGTGTCCTGCCCCCGCACACTCATCGTGCGCCACGAGACCCAGGAGGTGCTGATGCAGACCACGCAGATGATGCCCCTCAAAGTGCAGGTGCGTGGGGTGGGCCCGGCGAGTGTCCACAGCGGGCCAGCAGGCCGGGCTCTGAGCGAGGTCCCCCAGCAGAGGACGGCAGCAAGGGCCCTACATAGCCTCCCCGGAGCCGGGCTGGAAGGTGGGATGGGGCGGGGTCTCCTGGGGACACAGCGTGCTCCTCTCAGGCCCTCCAGGTGTGTTCAGGGACCCTGCGACCCACCACTCAAGCCCCGCACAGGTCTCGGCAGAAGCTCCTCCCGGGGACAGGGCGGGTGGTCAGGGCTGCCCTCCTGCAGGTGCAGATGGGCCTCTGCGTCACACACGGCTCCCAGAGGTGACGAGGCAGGGCCAGGCAGGCCTCTGGCTGGCTGCCCCCTGCTCCTGCTCCTGCCGCGGCGCCTGACCAGGAATGCTGGCTGCAGGTGCAGGTCAACAAGCAGGCGGTGGCCCTGCCCTACAAGAAGTACGGGCTGCAGGTCTACGAGTCAGGCATCAGCTTCGTGGTGGACATCCCCGAGCTGGGCGCTCTCATCTCCTACAACGGGCTGTCCTTCTCCATCAGGCTGCCCTACCGCCTGTTTGGCAACAACACCAAGGGCCAGTGTGGTGAGCTCCGCAGCCCCCGCCCGCCCGCCCCACCTTGGGAGCTGGGGGCCTGTTCAAGCGGCGGGCAGTGGGCCTTCTGCCCCTCTGTTGGGGCGCTGTGGTGTGGTCCCGGGTTTGGTCCCCGTGGGGAGCCCACAGGAGGGGGCTGGCCACGAGGGACCTGGGTGGGGGGAGGGGTGGTCCAGGCTGGCGCTGGTGCCATGGGACCATCCTTGCCGCCACAGGCACCTGCACCAACAGCACTGCGGACGACTGTGTGCTGCCAAGTGGAGAGATCACCTCCAACTGTGAGGCCGCAGCTGACCAGTGGGTGGTGAATGACCCCTCCAAGCCACACTGTCCCCACGGCAGCTTCACCACCAGGCGCCCGGCCCTCACAACGCCAGGGGGCAGCCCCTCCACACTGCCCGAGAACTGCACCCCGTCTCCCCTCTGCCAGCTCATCAAGGACAGGTGACCTGCCTGGGCCTGTCGGGCCTGGCCCCTGGGCAGCTGTGGGCCCCAGGAAGCAGCCTAGCCTACCAGGAGGATGCGAGGCCCAGCCGAGCGGGGAGCTGGAGGGCTGAGCACGGTGCTGTCTAGGCCAAGTCAGGGCCCAGGCCCAGGCCTCTGTTCCCACAGGCCAGCAGCGTTCCTGGCCTCCTGGGTGGTGCCAGCTTAGCTGCCCCAGAGGCCCTGGGTGGCCCAGCCGGCCGAGCACATAGCTTGCACTCAGGGCTGACTCTGGGGAGCCAGGTTTGAGCTTAGATGGGAGGGGGCCTCCCGAAGCGGGCAGCAAGGGACAGGTCGGTGCTGGGTTGGGCTTCAGGGGGCCTTCCAGGGCTGCTGGGGAGGCTCAGGGCACCCAGCGCTGCCCCTGGGGCCCAGTGGGTGTGGGCCTCCTGTCCTCCAGGCCGGTCCCTTCCCGCTGCTCCTGCCGTCAGCCACAGGCACCCCCTGATGGCCACAGGCTGAGCCTGCCGGGCAGCCGGGGTGGAGGTGTGGGAGAGGCGGGTGTGGTCACCTGGCCTGGAGCCAACCAGAGCGTTAACTCTCGCCCGCAGCCTGTTCTCCCAGTGCCACGCCTCCGTGCCGCCCCAGCACTACTACGAAGCCTGCGTGTTTGACAGCTGCTTCGTGCCTGGCTCTGGCCTGGAGTGCGCCAGTGTGCAGGCCTACGCGGCCCTCTGTGCCCAGCAGGGTGTCTGCGTTGACTGGCGGGACCACACCCACGGGGCCTGCTGTAAGTGCCCCTGCCCCTGCCCCGCACGGGGGGCCTGCAGGCCAGATGAGGCTCCCAGATCTGCTGGTTGTGAAGCCTGGAGTTACCCCATGGGCTGAGCCAGGCGTGCAGGGACAGCCAGGGCTGAGGCTGGGTCCCCAGCTGGGTCAGGGTGAGGGTTAGGTAGGTGGGTGTGGGCCTCCTGTCCTCCAGGCCGGTCCCTTCCCTCGCTCCTGCTGTCAGCCACAGGCACCTCCCTGATGGCCACAGGCTGAGCCTGCCGGGGGCAGCCGGGGTGAAGGCGTGGGACAGGCGGGTGTGGTCACCCAGCCTCCAAGCTGACCAGAGCGTGACCACGCCCCCCCAGCCAGGCACCCACCAGGCACCCACCAGGGCAGGACAGAGGCCACAGCACTGAGTCACTGGCCACCTCTGCTGGTGTGGGGAGGTCCTGGTTGGGAGGGAGCGGGCAGCTGTCACTGGGCATGTGCCCTCCTGAGTGGCCCTCTGGTCCTTGCTTTCTGCAGCTGTGACGTGCCCATCTCACAGGGAGTACCGGGCCTGTGGCCCCCCACAAGAGCCCACCTGCCAGTCCAGGTACGTCGTGTGACGAGTCCCCGACGGATGGGCTGGCAGGTGGCTCCCTCCCCTTCCCACCGCCCTGGGCCAGAGGCCCCCCTGAGGATCCTGTTCCTTCAGCCCCTCCCCGCAGAACTCCAGCAGCCTGGTGGAGGGCTGCTACTGCCCCGAAGGCACCATGAGCTACGCCCCGGGCTTCGATGTCTGCGTGAAGACCTGCGGTAGGCCACCCACCGCCCTCCTCAGGGTCCATGGGGCTGGGCCCAGGGCGGACCCTGCTCCCTAGAGTACCGAGCTGTGCTAACAGGTGTTTCCTTCCTCTCCCAGGCTGTGTGGGACCCGACAATGTGCCCAGAGAGGTGGGTCTTCCCCTTTGTGATGGGGGTCTCCCCAAAACCCTGAATTTGGGGGAGTGGAGTGGGGTCTGGTGGACATGAGACTGAGTAATCTGGTGGACATGAACCCTGGGATACTGATTTAGCAGGGACACCCACACACTCATCCACTGTCCATTTCTCTGTCCATCTGTCCATCCAAACATCTCTCCACCCACTTGTCCATCCACTCACCACCTGTCCATCTGTCCATCCATCCATCCTCTTATCACCTGGTCATGGATTTATTCATCTGTCCACCACCCACACCCCCAGCCAACCCTCTGTCTATGCATCCACCTGCCTGCCCACCATCGTGTGGTCTGTTGGCACTGGGGTGACACCTAGGCCACTGGGTGTGGTCTGCCTCCAGGGTAGGGTCAGGGCCCTGAGGCTCACTCCTGGCTCAGTTCTGCACAAACCTAAGTGATCTGAGAGGTGCCTGGGCCCCACACCAGGCCCGTGTTGGTGGGTGCTGGTGAGCAGCCTGGGACCCCAAGAGAGCAGCTGCTGTCCTTCCCAGAGCCTGGCCTGTGAGCCAGGGGTGGGCAGGGATGTGGCTTCCCCTCAAGACCCCTTGGCCAGCTGCCTAGGACAGCCCTTTCCTGCTTGGCTGGCCACAGATGGGTCGCCTGCAGCCCTGCACGGTGGTGGGCGGGGCCTGGTGGGCCCTTGGCTTCAGCAGCCCACGCGCTTCCTCCGCAGTTTGGGGAGCGGTTCGTGTTCGACTGCAAGGACTGCGTCTGTCTGGAGGGTGGCAGTGGCATCGTGTGCCAGCCCAAGCAGTGCAGCCAGAGGGCTCCGGTCAAGTGTGAGGAGGACGGCACCTACCTGGTCACCGAGGTGGACCCTGCCGACACCTGCTGCAGCATCTCCCTGTGCAGTAAGGCCAGCCCGAGCGGGAGGCAGGACCCTGGGCCCCACTGTCATGCAGCGGGCACCCTGTGGGCAGCCCCTGTCCTGCAAGCTCAGGATGTGGCCATCCCAGAGGCTGTGGGGCTCCACTGGACCTCCCCCTGCAGGGGCTGGCCTGGGAGGGGTGAAGGGGAACCCCCCGGGGTGCAGGGGCCCTGTGCTCTGTGGCAGGAGGTGGGGCTTTGCCGGTGGGAAGCACCCTCCTTAGGAGTCTGCCTCACCTTCAGAGTGCAACACCAGCCTGTGCAGAGAGGAGCCCCCCTCGTGCCCACTGGGATTCCAGGTGAAGAGCAGGATGGTGCCCGGAAGGTGCTGCCCTGTCTACTCCTGTGGTACGTAAGGCTGGCTGGCCGGGCTGTGCGGGAGGGCTGGCTACGGGAAGCGGCACCCTCGGGGGTCCTGTCTGTGGATATGTCCTGAGCTGGGCTAGGCCAGGTGGCCACTCAGGACAGCCTCTGAGGGCCTCTCCTGCTCTCTCCCAAGTGCCCAAGGGTGTGTGTGTGCACCAGAACGCAGAGTACCAGGTGAGCCCTGGGCTGGCAGTGGGGAGGTGGAGAAGGGAGGGAGGTGGCGGCCCTTGCTCCCCGTGGGTGGGGAGGGGTGAGGCTGGGGCCTGGGCAGGTCCTCACCGCCTGCCTGTGCCCTAGCCTGGCTCCCCAGTGTACTCCTCCAAGTGTCAGGACTGCGTGTGTACCCACGCCGTGGACAACAGCACCCAGCTCCATGTCATCACCTGCACCCATGTGCCCTGCAACGTCTCCTGTGACCCTGTAAGCCCCAGCTGCCCTCCTTCCCCGCTCCCCATCTCAGGGCACCTCCTCCCCTCTCCCTGAGAAGCACACAGGCCCTGACGCTTCCACGGAGTTGGTCACACTTCCCCCGTGCTCTCCTGGCCCACTCCGTCCCCGCCTGTCCACCTTGGCACCTACCTGGACTGCAGCCTCTCCAGGCAGGCAACCCCAGCAGCCCCAGGTGCCTCTGGGGTGCAGGACAAGCCTGCAGCTGGGCCTGGGCCTTGTCTGTCCACAGGGCTTTGAACTTGTGGAGGACCCTGGCCAGTGCTGCAAGAAGTGTGAGCAGACCCACTGCATCATCAACAGGCCCAAAAGCCAGTACCTCATCCTGAAGGTGCGCCAGGGACACCCCCACGGCTGGGAGGTTCCACAGGGCGGGCGGGAGCAGAGAACAGGGAACCCTGGCTCCGCTGGCCGAGTCCCTCAATTCTGGGTGCAGCTGTGGACAAGGGTCCTGGGGCTGCTGCAGCAATGTACACAGTGCGGTGGCTTAAGCCAGCAGGACTCGATTCTCCGAGGTCCAGGCTCACAGGGCTGGGGAGGGGGAGCCACGGGGAGGCTCTGCCTCCGTCTCCAAGTGGCTCCTTCCCTGCGTCTGTCTCCTCCTCTGCCTCTCATAAGGGTGCTGCCCCTGGCTTTGGGGCCACGCTAATCCAGGATGACCTTGTCTCAAGATCTTTTGTTTAGCTTCATCTTTAAGTGTCCCTCTCCCAAATGGGGTCACTTCATAGGTCTGGGCACAGCTTCCTGGGATGGGGACAGAACCTTTTTGGTGATGTGGGCTGCAGGCAGGCGCCTGTCCCGAGACCCCTGGTTCTCTTGCCTGGTGCTGCTGGGCCTGCAGCTGGTCTGGTGTGAAAAGCTGCTCTTGTCGTGTCCCCACTCGGTCCTGGTGTGTGTCTCTGGGCTGCAAGACCTTCCCACGTGTCCTCACTGATGCTCTCTCTGCAGCCCGGGGACATTCAGAGCAACCCCAACAACAAGTGCATGTTCTACAGCTGCATGAAGGTCCACAACCAGCTCATCTCCTCAGTCTCCAACATCTCCTGCCCTGACTTTGACCCCAGCCGCTGTGTCCCAGTGAGTGGGCCCCTGGGGCCTGGGTCTGCCATGCTCTGCCCAGAGTGGGGCCCCCAGTGTTCCTGAAAGGCTGGTCCAGTGCTGGGACATGGCCTCAGGCTTTGTCCTGGGCTCCGGCAGGAACCACCCCTTCCCAACCCCGTGTCAGGAAGGGGGTGCCCGTCCACTTGGGAAGTCTGGGGGACCCAGGCTCATTCTCCTTTCCCCCCAGGGCTCTATCACACTGATGCCCAATGGATGCTGCCAGAGATGTGAGTACCGTCTGGCAGGCACGGCCCAGTGGGTGGGTGCCACAGAGCCCCTGGAGGGAGGAAGGTAGAGAGGAGGGTGCCCCAGAGCCTGTGCCCGCTGTGCCGTCCTCTCTCACACTATGCCCAGGAAGAGGCAGGAGGGAGCCCAGCTGGAGGCTGAGGGCTGCCCCTGGGGGATCGGTGGCGCCAGGTTGGGGGCTGCTGGACTTGGGCCGAGGAGAGGAAGTGAGAGCTGGTGTGAAACCCCTGCCCCTTGGACTCCTCCCAGGCATCCCTCTCAACGAGACCAGGGTCCCCTGCGCCACCATCCCAGTAATCAGGGAGATCTCAAGGGCCGGCTGCACCAAGAATGTCACCATGAACTACTGCTCCGGGTCCTGTGGGACTTTCGCCATGTGAGTCCCAGGCTAAGCCCGTGCCCTGGTGGGGAGCCCGGAGGAGTCCAAAGAGAGGCCGGGGGCGGGGCGAGGCTAGCCCCGCCTCCGGGGAGGCGGCCCCTCACCCCGTCCTCGCCCCCAGGTACTCGGCGCAGGCCCAGGCCCTGGACCACAGGTGCTCTTGCTGCAAGGAGGAGAGGACCAGCGAGCGCGAGGTGGTGCTGGACTGCCCCAACGGGGGCACGCTGGCTCACACCTACACGCACATCGAGAGCTGCCTGTGCCAGGACTCCGTGTGCGGGCTCCCGCTGGCGGGGCAGAGCCGCGTCCGCCGCTCCAGCCCCCGGCTTCTAGGGAAGGCGTGAGCCGGGAGGCGCTGCCCCCACCGCTGACCTGCCTCGCCCCTTCGCCCCTGGGCTTGCATTCCTCTCTGCAGATATTTATTTTCTGAGGCTTTGTTGGATCTTTCGCTTTCTGATAATAAACTCAGGCAGAGATACTGTACTGGTGTGGTCTGAGTTGATGCCCGTTGGCCACTGGGCGGCAGGGTCCAGGGGTGTGGGGGTGGGGTGCCTCAGAGAGGGCCCTGGGCCCCCCACGGTCCGGCCACCAGTGTGCACACAGGACCCAGGGATCCTGGCTTTGCCCCGTACTGCCAAGAAAAACCAGCCCCTAGCTCTCTGCCTGTGCCAAGCCCTGGCTGGGCAGCTTGACCTCAGGCCTGTGAGACCGTCCCAGGGTCTTTCATAGCCATTTCCCAGGCTTTCTGCTGCTGGGGTGATTTCAGTCCAGCACGAGCTGTGGGGTCAGTGTGTGCCTGTGTGCGTGGATCTCTCTGGGTTTCTACCCCGGAAAAGCCAAGAGAATCAGCTCCCGCTGCAAACTGGCCAGAAGTGGCCGTGGCTGGCTGGCCAGGGTTGCAGGCAGCTTCCAGCCAGAGCCCGCCAGGCCTCCCACTAGCCTGAAGGCACAGTGGACTGCTGGCCACGCGTATGTGTGTGACCTCAGACACAGTGCCCTCACGTGTTTGGGAGCTGAGGCCCTGGCTTTCTGGGACTCATGGAGGCTGGCGGAGGCTGCCCGTCTGTGGTAGGTGCGTGCAGAGAAGCCCCCACCTCCTCTCTCAAGGCAGCAGGCAGTGCTGGGGGAGCCCCAGGAGTCCTGGAGGAGGCCAGAGCCCCAGCACCCAGTCTCACTTCGAGCCTTGCTGCAAGGCGCACAGCACCTGTGGGGGGGTGGTCCAGAGCTGCCGGCCAGAGGCCAGAGCCCCTCTTCCTTCTCTCCACTCGAGGCCTCCTCGGGGCTGGGCTGAGACAGCTGCCCTCCAGGCTGTCCAGCCTCCGCCCGGGTCCCTCCCCACCTGACCTCTGGACCCCAGGGAGGGCAGCAGCTGTGTGGCAGGGGCAGTGGGCTGAGGGCCTGTCGGGGTGCCCATGCCTTGGTGTCTCCCTGGTCCTAGAGGCTGCTCAGGGGTGGCAGTCTTCCCAGTGCCCCCAGCTGTCCTGGCCACCCACTCTGGGGACCCAGAGCCCGCCGTGTCGAGGCCTACGGACTTCGTGGGAAGCCAGAGGGCCTGGGCCCACCCTGGAGCCACTGGGTCCTCTGGGCGGCCACCTCTGGCATGGCCATGCGGGGCCTGGTGCTTCAGAGCCCGTGCTTCCATGAAGTCTTCAAGGCCCGAGTCCCACTCCACGCCGCGTCTGGTGCTGGAGGGCAGGGGCCCTGAGCCGTCGTGTGTGGCCCGAGGCTGTTCTCCTGGCCCGTCCTGGCCATGTGTCACCTCTCTGCCAGAGTGTGCCCTGATGGCGGTGACCTGCAGGGTGGGATAGGGTGCTGTGGACAGAGCCCTGGTCAGGAAGAGGAGGAAGGTGCTGGCAGGTCCCTGGATCTATCTCTGGGCCTGCCACCGTGAAGCGGGTGTGAGTGAGGGTACAGCTGGGCCCCTGCCTGCCCTTCCGTGCTGAACCCTTCATAAAGGGACCCCACCCCAGAGCAGCCCACTCCTTCCCAGAACAGGCCCCTGGCCAACATAGGCCATAAAACCCCCGGACATTAAACTCCACCTCACACAAAAGGTGTTAGCCACCGTGGAACTGAGGTAGACGGTAACAACCCAGGCCACTGGAAGATCCCCCTAAATTTGGGGATTGGGACACACACTTGTTTTTTGTTTGTGGTGCTGGTGACAGCACCCAGGCTAGGCGATCACTTACCACTGAGCAACACCCCAGCCTCTGGGACACACACTAAATAACCCACAGGTCAAAGAGGAGGCTCAAGAGAAGTTAGGAAATGTTTTAAATAGACTAAAAATGAAAGCAAAACGTATCAAAAAGGATTCCTTAGACCTCCACAGCATGTTTTCTTGTGTTGGTAAGAGGCAAGTCTCGATGGCCCATGTTCTACCTCAACACTCTAGCGGAAGACGAGCAGGTGGAGCTGGAACAAAGGAGGCTCACACACCCGTACAGTGGCCTCCGGGAGCACCCACTTCACGGCTTCAAACCCCAGACTCCGGGCACACAGAACCGAAGGGGTCGGATCAGTGAGATGGAAAACTAGCCCCTTGAAGAGATAAAAGTAAAACTGAAAGAACCTCATCAAGGAGGATCGTGCAAAAAAGAATGAGGACTGTGCACAGACGAAGCGTGGGACAGGGCTACACATCCCACAGACCTCTCAAGGACTCGCAAAGGGAGACCATGGTGTCATGGCGTTGACCACTTGATGAGGCGGACACGTCCCTCCACAGAAGCAAGTTCACAAAACTGACCCAAGAAGAAACAGGAATCAGCCGCATCTTGTCTTAGAAACCGAATCCATCACCCGCAGGCCTTCCTCAGGACGCCTTATCTGTGATTCTGTAAATCTTTAGAGAAGAAATAGCACCAACCCCATTTAAACTCTTGCAGAACGTAAGTGAGAAGGGAGCACTGTTGACCACTGAGCCCCATCCCCAGCCCTCTTGAGATTTTGTATTTGGAGACAGGGCCTGGCTAAGTTGCTGAGGCTGGCTTTGAACCCCTGATGCTCCAGCCTCAGCCTCCTGAGCTGTTGAGGGAAACATCTCTCAACCCATCTTGCAGGTTTGCATCTCTCCAGATTCCGGAAGCAGTGATGTGGTGAGAAACAGCTGTCGGTGCCTGCCAGGAGCAGAGATACAGAGCCCAGGGAGCAATGTCGTGAGGCCGTCCGGCAGCGGTCCCGGGAAGGGGTGGCCAGGGCGACTCTCCTGTCAATGCAGCACAGGAGAAGGACGGGCAGCCCTGAGGACCCGCGAGAGAGCTGAAGGACACATGGACCACAGAGCGGGAGGGCCACCCAGGGGGGCAGAAGACAAAGTGTGTGGGTAGGTGGCCCCACAGAACCCACAGAGCCCCCCCCCAACGAGCTCCGCCTGCAGGAGCCAATCGTGTGTCTATGTACAGGGATTAAGTCAAAGCAAACAACTCCACTCACAATAGTCTCAAAAACACAACGCGTGGGAAAACCTTTAACAAGATGGTGCAAGAAATGTAAACTGAAGGCCACAACACATCCCAAAGCTAGATTTAAAAAGTAAGAGGAGACGTAGGCCAAGTTCATGGGCAAGAAGGTTTGGTATTGGTGAGATAGCTGCCCTCTTGAATCTACCTGAAGAGTCACGAAATACCCACACAATCCCTCACGGTCCTTTTGGAAGCAATTGGCAAGCTACTTTTGTTTATTATTATTATTACTATTATCATCATCATCATTATTATTAGTTTTCTCTCTTTTTCCGTATTTTAAACAGGTGCATTGTACTTGTACAGGTTGTTGTTGCAGGTTCAATATGTGATGTCCACACACACAATGCAGCAGCGTGGCCTGGCCAGGGTCCCTCCCCTGCACTCCCCCTTCCTCCCTTCCCCGCACCCCTGGTCCTTTCCTCTACTGACCTGCCTTTGATTTTCATGAGATACACCCACGGTGTCTTCTCCTTTTTCCTCTCGAGCCTCTGCTATGAGAGAAAACATATGACCCTTGACCTGAGTCTGGCTTATTTCACGTAACACAATGCTCTCTAGCTCCGTCCATGTTCCTGCACGTGCCATAGTTTCCTCTTTATGGCTGACTAAATCTCCACTGTTTTGCATGTCCACCACATTTTCTTTATCCCCCCGTCCACCGAGGGACACCTGGGCTGGCTCCGTCGTCTGGCGGCTGGGAATGGTGTGTGTGTGTCACTGTAGTGAGATGACTCTGACTCCCCAGGGTCAATACCGAGGAGTGGGACAGCTGGGTCACGTGGAGGGTCCCTGCCTGGTCTTTTAGGAGCCTCCCTACTGATTTCCACGGGGTCGTGCTGATTCACAGTCCACCCACAGTGTAAAGGGTTCCTCTCCCGCATCCTCCAGCATGTGTTGTTCACACCCTGATGGCGGCCCTCCTGACGGGTGTGGGCCACAGCTCAGTGTGGTTCTGAGTTGCCTTTCCCTAATTGTTAATGATGCTGAACATTTCCCATGATTTGTTGCCCATTTGTACTCCTTCTTTTGAAAAGTGTCTGTTTAGCTCTTTTGCCGATTTATTAATTGGGTTACGTGGTTCTTCAGTTTTCAGTTTTCTAGCCATCAATCCTCTGTCAGAAGAAGAGTTGGCAAATACTCAGGGAAGGTGCATCCTGTGTCCAGAGGGCACCAGAAGTCCTGTGGCCCATTGCAGCGGGATGGACAGAGCATGGGCCTTGGCCTTCGTGGGGCTCTTATAGAAGGTGGCACCTTTACCAGTTGGCTGGTAAGTTCATGAAAAGATGCTTAGGTTAGGGCCTGCCCAGTCATCGCAGGGGAAAGCCACCGGGTGAGGCAGCTGGGAGCGTGGAGCGCTGCTGTGCCTCAAGGCCATGCCGTGTCCAGCCAGCCTGCCCCAGCCAGGAGTTTCCCAGGAAGGGAGCCCAAGCCGCACGGCTAGTCCATGAATGCTTAAGGAGCCGCGTTCAAACCTCCCAGACCCAGGAGCAACCTGGGGCCCGAGGCAGCGAGGTCTGTGGCGATGGGTGCTCAGCCACGGAAGGAGCCAGGGCCAGGGCGGCCGGCAGGGGCCTCAGGGCGTCCTACTGCGGGAGGACACGAGGGAGACTGCGGGGTCTACACTCAGGCAGTTGCGTGGGAGGAATCAGAGACGGAGGCCAGGCGACACCTAGGACCGGGGAATGGACTGCCGGTGGCACAGATGAGCTCTTTAGGTCCCTTGCCTTGTGTGTGGTGCCAGTAACACAGCCGCATGCCATCGGTGGAGCGTCCTGATGGGTGTCCGCACGATCGCAGAAGAGTAAGAATAAGGCAAGCCTCGCTCCTGGGACAGCCACGCTCTTCAGCTCCTGTCTGCAGCCGGCCCCTGGGCTGGCTCAGTGGGCCGACTGTCCCCTGTGGGTCTGTCCCAATGCCTGGCAGCAACAGCTGGAGCTGGAGCCACGTCCTCCCCGTGTCCAGCAGGGCCAGGGCTCAGGTGGCCTGCACAGGGCCTGCACAGGGCTGCGTGGG